GATGACTTTTCCATGGTGGTATCTGATTGTGGCTGTTGTATTGTCATTATCTGAAGTTGTAATGAAATTAGCCAAGAGCTGCTGGAAAGGAAACTAGGGAAAGCAGTGTTGTTTTGCGTATGCTAGAAAAGTAGGAGAAAATGTGCGATGCAGCAATTTCATTTATAAACTCTTAACTACTTGCTCTGCTATTCACAAAAGTGAAAATGTGTCATGTCTTCTATCTGGGGCTGTGCTACTTAAAAACAACAACAAATAAATGCCAGAAAGTGCATAGGGCTGAGGATGCAAATCTAGTTATTCAAACTAGTGTTAGGAAGGGGTGATTCCATTTAAGAGATTTATAAGGGGGTTGGATTTTTTTCATAATAGTCAAGTTCAGTTAGAAAATTGCTAATGGTGTCAAATAAAGGGGGAGAAAAGCTAAGGAAAAGCAGAATTTACTTTGTACGAACTTTGGTTTGTCCATGTACTCACAATACTGTGGTAATTGCTAGGATGATCCCCCATAAAATCTTTCCTGTGTTTACCTCATTCAGACACAAGAGGAGCAATGCAGCATCAGGACAGCACCACTGTGTAGTGAATATGCCTGTTATATCAATGGTCCCCACCTTGCTCTTCACCACCCTTGGGAGGAGGTTGGTGCAGGCTTTTAGGTGGTTGTGAGGCTGAGTACCTTCTTTGAATTTCCTCACTGTCTCTGCCTCTGAGCAAGTTATATAAACTGACACAGTCTCATTTAGTCACCAATCATGTGTTATTAATTCTCTTAATACGTGAACTAAGACATCTGTGACCAAACTCAAGGCTGTGTAGGGTTCACTACTGCACTAAGATGTGATGAGAACAGTGCTTTAAGTGCGTGCAATAAAAATGTTAAGTATACTTGACATGGTGAGGTGTCAAGGCAGGTACCCATAATAACTCTGTCTTCCTTTGTTCTCCACTTTCTTACATGAAAGTAATAATATCACTTAATCTTTCAAAGCTTGTGGAAAAGAGCTTCAGTAATATTGTCAAGGCTGCAGCATGCTCAGAGGTTACCATATAAAAAGGCTAATAAAGAAAATCAAATAACTGTCTATTGTTGAAAGAGCCAAATGTCATGTAGTAAAAGACATCATGCGATGATGTAATCAAGGACTGCACAGGTATGTAAAAGGATATGAGTTGTGTGGGTTGTCTTACAATGAACCTTTATAAACTTGTTTAAATCCTTAACTTGGTGGCTGTAGCTTTCTGTAGTTATGTTTTGTAGTTATTAATGGCATGAAGAATTATTTCTAACATTGCCCATACAGTTCCAAGCTCCGGAAAACTGTGAGCACTGATCTTGTACCACTGTGTAAACATTCATTATGATACACAGCCAGACATAAGCAAGTAATTATACTGATTTTGATGGAAGACAAGGTCATGAACTGGATGCGAGTACATTTGGCACAGGCAGCTAATTGATATCTTTGTCTTAGGTCTCTACCAAAATGGGCTTCTAAAGGGAGTGATTAAGTTTGTATTATAGGCTAGGAAGATAAAAGGATGCCTTTGAAGCATTCAAGAAGAGACTTTATTTGTTTAGATAACCACTCGTACTGTGGAAGAAGCTTTGCAAGTCTTCTAGGGCACGAGTCTTATAGGGCACCTTTCTCTCTCGACTCACAGAGTGAACATGTACTCTTTGGTAGGAAAAATAGAGCATGCATCCAAAGCACTAGCTCAGGTTGTAAAACAGATTATTAGATGACTTTCTATCAAGTTCTAAAGGGTGTTCAGATTTACATGTGTAGGAATGTGTGTGAGATCTGGTTAATGGAGCAAAAATATGGAAGAAAGCTAAAGAAATCAGAAAATAACATTATTTTTAAGTGAATATCAATGCTGTGAATCCTTTCTTTCTGAATAGTCCTTATACTCTTTCTTACTTGTGCCATTGCAGTATTTGATGAATTTTGCAACTAGTCAGAGGCCTCTTTCTTTCCTAGCAGGACACATAGTACTTTTATTTATATTTAGGTCTGACCCTGCAGAAAAAATTCTTCTTGTTTATTATTTAAATTAATGTAAAATCAAATTCTTAGCATAATGATCAAACAGCCTGTGGGAAAATATGTAATAATTATGCATTGTTGTTCAGTCCAACATACCTATAAAGTAATGCAGCTTATCTGCCTTCTGAAGTGAAAGCAGTAAACAAACAAACAAAAAAAAATGCTAAACACAAATCTCGTGTCTCAATCTTCATTCTGTTTTATCTGCTGACACTTCTTGTTAGAGCACTGTCTGAACACTCTACAGTCTGTATCACTTAATGCTCCAGAACGTCTGTATTCCCTCTGCTAACCCAGGGGTAATTTTCTGAGTCTAGGGTTCCTTCATGCATATTATGTTCTGAGGCTGTTCAGGTGGAAGGCAGCTCCTGGTAGAGTGAGTGCCCTTCTAGCATGAGTATCCCCACTGCCTGGTTACTTTTCACTCCCATTTTCTTTCACACTCTTTCTGGACATAATTCTGAATTATTTTCTGGGTAGTGTCATCCATCAGATGTGTTAGATGAAGACTACACCATTATGCAACCACTGTTATTCAGAAATGCCCATAAAGAAGGTACATTTTTGGAATATGCAATATTGAATTTTTTTTTTTTTTTAAGAAAATGAGAGAAGTTAAAATCTAAAAGACCTTTCCTGGTTTTAGGCAAACAAACTAATAACTATCCTGTGAAACAGCCAAAGAAGATGTGTTGTGCAGGGAGGTATCAACATTAACTGCATTTTGTGTGGAGCTTTTCTGGCATTTGAAGATTGCTGGCATGCCTTGGGAATGCCCATGAGAGACCTGGGCAAAGACACAGATAATTTCTGAACTGTGTTCAAGCTTAAGTGTGATCTCTGTGTTCAGAAGTGAAGCACTGTCAGTCTGGAGCTGTGCAAGGCAGGCAGAGAGGCACCAGGGAAAGTGTACTGGAAAAATAAAACTGTGCTCAACATTAAGTAGATAGAAAATGAAAATTTGCAGCGTTGTGTTATTTGAGTTTTGGTATCTGGCTCCAATCTTAAACATCTTTAAATACCTTTTCTGTGTTTGCTAGAAGGCACACGTTGTAATACAGTATGGTGAACTTTGACTTTTCTTCTACGTCCTTATTTGAGTCCCTTCTGTTGTCCAATTTTTCATAACAGACATATTTGGCCACTGTCAAACTGAATGATTTTTGCATACTTGGTTGACCAAGTCTTCTTTTTTAATACACCGATACAGTCAACTGTGCCAGTAAAACAATTATGCAAAATTGTGTGTAAAGGTTTAATGATACATGGCAGTGTTCATCACAAATCTAATTGCAGTTCTTACCATCTTTTCATAAACTAAAGGTTTCAAGAAGTTTTAATTTGTAACTGTGGTTAATCTCTGGTTTTAGAAAATATGCTTAATTTGGCAGACAGAAAATGTGTAAAATAAAGCCACTGTGAAGTTTGGAAGGAAGCAATAAATGGAAGTAGTGACTTGGAGGAGTTCTGGTGAGGTTTTATGTGCTTTCAGGTGGTGATTATGAGAACTCTGCATTATTACATGTCTCATTAAGTTACACAGTGTTATCCATTTTACCTTACAAATCCTAACTATGTATGGCTGATTGTGCACTGGCTCTGTAATGGAATACAAAGATATAATGATGGAGATACTCAGTCATCATTCTTTGCTGCTAACTACCCCCTAGAAAGAGAGAATGGATTAAAGCAGAATTGAGGTTTGACATCTGATTTCTACTTGGCTAACTGAATGTTGGTTCAGAAAATGAGCAGTAAAGCACTGTTTAGCAATGCTTTCACTGAAGCTGAAAATCCCATGGGTTTTTCTTGGTCCAGAACAGAGCATTTAGAAATATTTCAAAACTGATATTTCCAATTCATGTTTGCACTGGTATTTTCTGATTTCTGCCCTGCTGCTTTCCTTGGATCCCTGGGTGGGATTTAATCCTGCCATGGGAAGTAATAGAGACTTGTATTATTATTAGAACTGTCGTTTTATAGAGAATCATTTTGAACTGGTCATTATGAGCTGCAGGGAGAGGTCTTCTGCCCCAGCCACCACAGACAGAGCACACTTCTCCCCATCCCTGCTGAGACCATCAGGCTGTGTGTGAGGGAGGAGTATTGAAAGATGCCCTCCTTTCTGAGCCTTTGTGGTTAACGGTTGTCATAAGCTGTATGTTGTCTTTGTCATAAGGAAGCATTAAAGAACAGAAAGACTGGGAATAATGGATAGCCTCATGATGCATTGTGTTACCTTGTTCATTGAACATGAGCTGGTCAGCACATTTGGCACTCAATGTAGTCAGATGTGTGAGCTTTTCTGTTCTGAACACAGCAGCTTGTATAAACAGCTTTAACTTATTGCACTCCAAAAGCAGAGACCTGAAGCAGTTGTGTAAGATTGGGGAATGTTAATTGTTCGTGAACACGAATGAGCTTATAAATAGTTGTTTTTGCAGTCTTACGTGGCTCATTGAGGGTAGCTGTGTCCTGCCAGAGAAAAGAAAGGAGAATGTTCTTTTATTTTTTTCTTCACAGAGTGCTAATACTTTCAGTTTGCTATAATGTGCCTTTAACAAACCATGAACTTCTCTCCTACTGAGCCACTGCATCTTGCCTACATTCAGTGTAGGCAGAGAACCATTATACTAATCCACTCTACCATCATATCTCTAGCAAACACATGTGTTTTCTTTAAGAATTTTGATGCAAGCGGTGTTAATTCTTTGATTTGGCAACATAAACAAGCAGGAGACTTTGACTTCTCAACTTTTTAACCTTAGTTGTCTACGTTATGATTTTCAGCTGCAGCGTGTTTTGACAAATGTATGACAGTAACATTTGGAGGAAAGGCAAATAAACCTGCCACCTCACAATAACTTTAGAATGCTTCACCTCTGCAGGTAGCTTAACTTTCCTATGTAGGCACTGAAATGATCAGTCTTTCACTTTGTTCTTTAACAGGTACGATTGTACGCAAGGCCTGATGCAATCCGAAGAGGATCAGGAGACTATGCCCTAAATATTACAAGAAGACTCATTGAATTTTATGAAGATTATTTTAAAGTGCCCTATTCCCTGCCAAAATTAGGTAAGATTTTCCCTAGAATGTGAAGTTCACGCAGAGTCCAGGAAAATGCCTACTTGTTTAAAGGAAATTCCTGACTGGAATGCACAAGACTTCAAAGTAAAGATATTTAGGCTAACTTAAAAGGGTAAATAAGGAATTTTTTTCTCTCTTCTGGAGAGGAAAGGAAGTCAAATTGTCCCCTCTACAGTCTTGCACTGGAAGGAGCAGGAAGCAGACAGCACTTGGACTTGTTAGTCAGTGAAACACTGGGGAGAGAACTTGGCAGCTTTCACTGATGAGTTTCTTTTTTCTTTTTTGAATGCTGTTTATTTTGAGCCTTGCTTTCATTAGGAAGCCATTGAGAAGCGTTTATTCTGTAATATTTATGTCTTGATGTCTTTGGTTTAGATAGGGAACAGAATTGAGAGTATTTGTAGTAAATGGGAGCCTCTAACAGTGTAAAGAAGTATCTGGTGTTTGTTCATGTGGTTAATTTTTGATGGTTAACATATGTTTAATTGTGTTGTAGCTTGCTGAAATAATAAGTGTATACTGGTTTTTGCAGCTCAAGTTACCTAAAGTAGAAGCTGTCAATTTCTCTTATTTTTGAAATAGTTTCTTCTTCCCTTTCACTACAATCATTTATTCCCTGATACGCTTGAATATTTTACACTGTATTACTACACCTTCCCTACTTAGGGGCATGTTTGATCAAGATCCAGGAAAGCCTATTGCTCAACAGCAGGAAGGAAACTTGTATTTGATCAGAAGTGTTAGAGTTGGAACCACAGGTGATCCTCCCAGGAGCTCAGGGTCTATTTCATTAAATCCTTTGCCTGCTGAGTAGTGTTATTAGACTTACAACTAACGATGCAGGAGATAGATAAAGTAATTGATGTTGCTAGATGAGGGTGTTGCATGAATATTTTATAGGGATGCTTTGGCATTTGTTTCTTGTTCTCTTTAAATGGTGGGTTACAGGCAGTGTTCTCCTGGTGATATATGCAAACAGATTTAAACATGGCATGTGCATTAGATTTCCCATGTACCCTTTGATGCACAGTTTCAGGTATGTAATGGTGTCTTCATACTGTAAGTTACAGACTTACTGGTAGTGAAAATTTAGAAGGAAAAGTATAATCAAAAACTTTTCTCTGAATATAAATGAAGAGCAGTGGGACTCCGATCATTACTTCAGATAGTTTACTGTGGATGCCAGGTAACAGCAGGCAGTAGTAGCTGTTTCTGTTTCAGAATATCTTTCACAATAGCAACATACGTCCTTTCAACTCAACATGATTTATAGGTTATCATTACACTGTTGCATTTCTTTTAAAACTATCTTATTGGAAATTAGTATGTTCAAGTTTGCATCCCTTTGCAACAGAATAGGGGAGTAGTAATCACAAGTGAATATATATTTTTTTTTTCCATCAAGTGTTCGTAGGAAACTGGTGTTAATAGGAAGTACTGCTTGAAAACTTGAGCTTTCCTATAGTATCACTACAAAATAGTTTGCAAAATTTATTATGCTATAGCAGAGTTGAATTTATTTAGTGTAAAGAAATGTAAAATACAGAAAATTTTAACATTTGTGATTGTAAATATTTTTGAAAATTTGAATTGAATGTGAAGTACTTTGTTCCTAGTTCAAGAGAATGCTAAGATCACTAAGCTTAAGAATATGCTATTGCCTGTAATACAGTTGAGTGCTGATATTTAATTACTTACTTTTACTGGAAAATAGAAGATTGGAGACAATAGTGTGGCTGATGAATAGAAGATGAAAATACTGCAGTATTTCTACAGTTGAGATTTTGCAGTAGTATTAAGTCTATCTGAGGGGTCTAATGAGTGACAAAAAGAAAAGCATTGTCTACAGATGTTGAGGGAGTGCTCATTGTGAGAATGCTTTGATACAGAAAACGTGCCTGTACTTTCTGAGGCAAAGAACTTCAGGGATGTTACCTGGTGTGCTTCTGTCCTCATTGCAGAGCATTGTGTACTTCATTAAGGTTTCTGTCTATGGGGCATATGTGAGGGCATTTAGGTTTGGAAAATGTTGCTTTATCAGAGGGACCTGAGCTCACTTGTAAATTTGTGTTGTTGACATCCCTTTCCACAAACACTTGGCATATCAAGTTATTGATCGTCATCTGAGATTGTAGTAAACTAGCTAGGATTCTGTACAGGAACCACTCTGTCCTGACAGTTTTGACTACTTGCCTGTCCTTTGACAAGGCTTTTTTTTTTTTTTTTTTTGCTGTCCTTATTTGCTGTCAGATTTCTGTGGTTGCTGTTGCCTGTTGTGAGCTTCTCTGAGATCTTTACAGTGTTTATGGTTATCAGGAACTGTGGAGAATCTGGGGGAACCATTTTGTCATCCAGTGGCAAACATTTTTAAGAGTCTGACTGACTTCGACTTCTCTGAACTCTGCTGACTTCTGAATATGCTGGGATAGTAGAATCGTTTGCCAATTGATGTGAATTCTGGTAATGAATGAGAAATGGGGATTTTTCTCATTTGAATAACCAATTTCCACATTTAAAAGTTCTACTTAGCTTGTAGATATGCAGTTTTCTTCCATATCATACTATGAACTTGAAGATGATCATGTAAGGTTTTAAACTAATAGCTCTTGTTTGAATTTCATTTCTGAAAAATGATTCAAGTCTTTAAAAAACCCACATTTTCCAATATAATATCATTATAAACACTAGTTAAAATGAGGGGTGGATAAGGCATTGGATTTTACTTAATTCTGAAAAGATATGCTGTAGGGTTTTTAATTGTGTTTCTATGGATATTGAATATAAAATACATTTCTGTATTTGTGTCACATACTTAGTTTTAATCCAGTTTGCAGTACACAAAACCTTTTCTTCATATGTGCAGAGCTTTTTCTTGCAGGAATCTTTGAGTCTGGAATAGTTTTCCTGTGGGGAATGATTAGGTAAGCAAAAGCTTTTCATGCTTGGACAGTTGTGACTCTTTAAGCTGTGAATGATATGGAGTGGAGGGGCTGACTGTCTCTTCCAGAGAAGAATAAAGAGCCATGCTGTGAGGTTGGCAGGAGGCAGGTGCAGAGAGCACAAAAAGATTGCAGCTACTGAGGCAGGTGGTAGATTTGTGAAACTTGTCAAAAGAGGTTGTAGATGCAATCCATAGGTCCAAAGGAAAATGTGAACAAATGCATAGGTTGCTCCGTAAGTAATGCCTCCTACTTATTTCAATGCAAACTACAACAGGTGCAAAGAGGACAGAAAATCTATTTGGTATAGCAAATTCTGAGCTATGAAGCACTATTTTTGAACATGGCCACTACCATTAGCCTATGCATTTTTGCCAGCAGTGAACAAGAGCCGATGTGCCACACTGGTAAAAATCTGCACTGCTATCGGTCTGCATGGCTCCTCCTTCATGTTACTGTTGCCACTGCTGTAACGCATCACCCACCACCTCACTGTGCTCACATTCACTGTTTGGTCTCCATAGATGTTCAGGAGTCATCAGTGAATGTCAGTGAATGCCATTTTTTCTACTTGGAGGAATTCAGTGATACACCTTTGCTTCCTGCGCGCTCCATGTCAGATGCTATTCTGCCTGACTGCTCCTCTGCTGCCATCTGTCACACAGCAACAAAGTGCAGTGGAACACTGGTGGGAGGTCCAACCTCAACTGCCATACCTCCAACATCCACCTCTGACATCATAGGCCAACATAATAACATAGGAAGCATTACTTTCAGAGCAGCCCTTGAAAGAGTCCTGACAAGTGGAAGAATGAACAGTTGATGAATTGAGTTTTAGATACAGAAAAAGGATAGAAGAAGGTGAATACTTTTGCTGTTCTGTCTTGAGGGTTGTAGAAATGAATCAATATTTAATCTATGAATGCTATAATGTGGTGTGTGAGTTAAAATATAGCGTAAAAAAATGATATATTTTTCAGGATTTGAGGGAATCTTCTCTGCAGGATTAGTACATGGCAGCTCTAAGGTTATTTAGGATAATTTATTGATGTTTTTTTTTTATGGGTGTATGCAAGGTACTAATTACCTTGTTTATGCAAAAATGATATGGTCTTGTTTTCATTATACAGCACAAAACACTTTGAAGTTTTGAATGCAGTCTCAGAAAGTGTTTTTCCAAGATGTTCAGTGAGTATGCTGCACAATGGAAGACGAGATTGAGCCCTTAACATTTACTCTTAGAATATTTTTGAAGAACAGAGTTCAAATTTTGAAGTGTATTATAGAGAAGTTTATACTGTTTCTTACAGTGTAAGAAATTGGTCAACCATGTAAGAAAAAGGCTTAAAGGGGAACTGTTCTGATTTTCAGAGGAAACTCGCATGTTTCCTGATTGTTGACAGTGAGTACATTGATGAGTGAAAGTGGTGTTGCCTTTGTCTGTCACATTGGAGGTCCAGAATGAAATGTTGGGTTGATGCTCTGTGGTGGTTGAATGATTTGCTGATAATTTTTATCTGATTACTTTACTATTACCTTAACTCTGACACTTTCCCAACCTGTTCATTGGAATATTGCTTTCTGACCTGCTATCCCTACATCTGCACTCTTTTCAGCTGTTACTATTTTCTGACTTTCCTTTGGTTGTCCTTCCTCCCATCTCTAGCTCCTTTTTGAATGAACATAACTCCATGTTCTTGCCTGCATTCTTTTAGTTCTACTGAGTTTCACAATTCCTACCCTTGTCCTTGGTCTTTATCCCTGAAAAGGTAGCCATCTGTCCAGCTCTGGTGTGGAATTGCTGTATTATACCAAGAAAGGTAGCTCATTTTTCTTTTCCTATCTATAAAATGAAAACAGTAAGCAATACTTTTATGGTCTTGTTTTAACAGTAGTTGAAAGTGATTGTGAGTTTTTTCTTGGTTCCCTTTTGATGGAGAGGTTGCCAGCCTGAAAATTTACGAGATGCTGATCTGATCTAACCTCTAGCCAAGGGCTTCTAGAGTTTCATGGCATTCTTATGAGATCAGGGTTACAATTTCTATGAGC